CCGGTGCCATTGGAGGAAACAACCAGTTCGGAAGACGCGAAGTAAGAAGCGTAGAAGCCGATGGTGGACATCGCGATGCCCAGCATCAGCAGCAGGTAGCCGACGACGAGGCTGGTGCAGATGGCGCAGAAGGCGGAAGACCGATGGCACGGGTTGCCCTTTCTCTTGTCTTGAATCATCGACGCCAGGCCGTGTCGTTTTTCTGCTCGCCTCTCTAAACGACGACTACCTCAACGGAGACAAACTCTTGGAGGGAGAGGACGACGAAGAAGAGTCGAGAACGGCCACAGAGTCGGCGATCACGGCGGCGGCGGCGGCGGCGGCAACGGCAACGGTGGTTGTCGTCGTTCTCATCCATGCTGTTGGCATTGGCCTCAATTACCGCTCGACCGACTTCAGACATCGTCGCTGCTGCTGCCGCTGCCGCTGCTGCGTTTGATTCGACTTGATCTACAACTGAGGGAGAACAAACAAGTTCTCAGAAAGAAGACGAGGAGGAAGAACAAGGACGGGAGTGTCAACAGTCGGACGACGAGTAGACCCGCTCGCCACCTTGAGCAGACAGACGGCAGACGGAGTCCGTTGGATCTCGTGGTCGTCGTCGAGAACGAGGTAGCACCTCACTTACTCGTCTGCCGCGTCAGCCGACTCTCCTCGGCTGAATCCATCGACGGCGACGATGGCGACACGATGAAGGTGTCTACGACAACGACGACGGAGGAAGATTTTATAAGTACCGTGTGTTTTGTGTGCATCTGATTGAAGACGTGTTTTTTGCTTTCGCGTTACAACGGAGTAGTTAATGCGTACCGTATTGGATTATGCTACCATCAGACATGCACATTGTTTCCGTGTTCGATCAACGAGGGCCAAGTTGCAAATGCCTTAGGCCCTTTGACGAAACCGACGAGGCTTGCCTCATCGACGACCGTTATCACCACCGGAGCCGGGCCCTTCTGTCCAACTGCCCTCATGCCTCTGCGACTGACGATTCATACCTCACGTGTCTG